TGTAATATTAATATCTACTTTTTGGTATTTGTATGCTTTGAATTAATCTTATTAAACGGCTAGTTATTTATATGTTTTTGAATTGAGCTACGTTAATTTGTAAAAGTTACGAATGAAATGTCATTAGTTGTATTTATGTAGTGTTGCTGTAAATATTAAAAAAATTGATTATGATACGGAACCGAACCGACCCGAACCGAACCGAACCCGAACGGTTCCATAATTATATTTGGACCCGACGGGTCCATTTATTAAATACCCGAAAATTTTGGATCAGTTCGGGTCTCTTCAGAACCGAACCGAACCGACCCACGGACAGCTCTAATTAATACAAATTGAAGAATAAAGAAAGGATGGCTGCAAATAGATATTTAGATACTTCAGGCAAAGCAGACCTCGCAGAGAACGTTGTAAGTGATGGAGATCTTTTAGCTATTTTTGACATTGAATCTAAACCGGAAGATGATTAGATTCTTAATTCAGCATGTGTGTTTCATATATGTCTTAATAAAGACTTGTTTACTACATATGAAATTGTTTCGAAAGGTGTCGTGGTTATATGAAACAACGCATCTCATCGGGTTGCTGGAATTGGTACAGTCAGATTGAAGCTTTTGGATGGAACAATTAGAACACTTGTCCAGGTTCGACATGTTCCGAATTTGAAGAAGAATCTCGTTTCGTTATCTATCATTGATTCAAAAGGTTATGAGTTCTTTAGTGGATATGGAGCTTTGAAGTTTTGTAAAAGTGCCCAGGTTGTATTTGAGGGACAGAAAATGTCTCAATTATATATATTGTAGGGTCATGCAGAATCTAGAAGAGTCAATCAATACATGTTCAGTACCGTAGTGGACATTCAGTTTGGTACAATACATTTAGGAGCTCATAAAGGGTTGGATTTGAAGAATACTGCTCAGTGGAGTTCAAGAAATATGGATAATCTCGCTTTGCCACAATCACTTGCGGTGCCATTATATTCAATTGTTAGGGACGGACTCAGTGGAAAAGGGTACGTGGATGCTGATTTTGTTGAACATGCTTTAAGTAGAGTAGAAGATGTTCAATCTAGCAATGTGCCTTTGGTAAAAGCATTTGGTATTGATTCTGCATTGGGATGTGTTACAGCCCATTTTGGTTAATTCAAAATCATTATGATTTTTTGGGAATTTAAGGTAATTCTGCAGAGTAGTGCTTGGATTTATTGTAAGGGGTGGAATATTTTGTGTTTTGTTGGAGAAATTAATTTTTTGGTTAATTTGAAGAAGCCAGTTCATTCCTCGGTGGAATTCATGTCAACGTGGAGATTGTTAGAATTTTGGTATGACCCGAATTCCTTATTGAAGTAATTGAAGAATTCTAATTGAAGTGCACGTCAAGAAGAATACAATTTGGAATGCTATTGGAGTCCTATGTCAAGTTGAAGTTCTATTTTTGAAGCTCATTGAGAGTTGGGAGTTGGGAGTTGGAAATTGGTATTGGACTTGAAGAGGAGTGAAGAAAAAAATTTGAGTAAAAAATTAAAATTAAAATTGGGGTGGCGCCCGGCATGGGCGTCGTGGTGCTGGCCCCGGCTTCTGTCCCTTTTTCCGCATTTTTTCTTCTCCTACTTTGTTTTAAACTCGATTTTTTGGTATCCTACTTCATCAACAACTCTACTAAGAGGGTTTGGACGTCCCTTACATATTTCCTATAAATATTAGGCACTTATATACAATTTGATAAGTGTGAGAAAATAGATTACTAGAGTTATAAGATCTATTGTAATTTTTCTCAATTCTCCATTATTTTTGAGTCAATAAAATCTTTTAATTCCTCTACCATATTTCTTATCTTTATTATTCTTTTGTTTGATCATTATTGTACCATATAACTCCAATATGTTAATCCGGTTGTTTGTTTTATAACAAGTGGTATAAGAGCAATTATGGTATCTTATTTGTTTTATAACACATAGAGACTGAAATAAAAGTAACTAAACACTTAAAGGAGGAGAATATGTATTATATGTGGAGTTTAAATTTAACAAAAATAATTTGGAACACATCACAAATTTTAAAGTTTGGATAGACGCGAGAAAGATGTCTATCGCAACAATCAACAAACCAAGTAAATAAATATGCTGAAAAGTAAATAGCACAAATAATTGTTTATGAAGAAAAAATCATTGAAGAATTCTTCAATAGAAAAAACCTCCGAGCAACTCGTGTCACCAAATGATTTACTAGAAAATATTGAATTTACACATCTGGTATAGACATTGCTAAATGTTAAACTTTGACTCCCAATTTATAATTACATGAAGAGCTCCTCAATGACAGCTCCGGCACTTGCACTAGAACCTCTAGGCTTTTTTCCCTTATGGATCTCCAATAACAAACTCGTTCTTTCTTAAATGGGACTTCAGTCACCTCTCATATTCATTAGAACTCTCACACTGTATGGTAGAGGATTTTTTTAAAATGTGGAAGAGAATTTTGATAACAATTTGTTTATTCTAATCAAAGATCTTCTCTTCTTTTTCTTTTTTCTTTTCCAATACACGATGAAATATAATTCTATTGTATATGAACTATATTTCAAAGATCTAGGTGGTTTAAGAATGTTTAGAGATTGAAATACAAAAAATAGGGTTTCTCCTGCCTACATGGGAGCTCGAGCACACATGTTCTAGAAAATATAATCGATCGCCTTCTGAACGTTCATCAAGCAAGAATGTTTTGAAAAATGTCCTCAAACACCTTTTGGATATTCATCGAGCACACATGCTCTAGGACAAGCTGAATTATTTCACTTCCATGATTTTTGAGATATACTCAATCAACTATTAACCCTTGTCAATTCCAACCCAATTACACTCAATTGAACGAATTTGGACACAAAACTTTCCAAGACTTATTTGACCTAAGAAATGTAACTTTTGTCTCCGAATTTATCTTTTAGGCCTTGACTTCATCGGCTCAAATCTTTGGGCAGCCAATGATAAGGATCAGTTTTCTCCAATCGGATTCGACATTACGTTTCCCAGCATGATAAACAATGCCAAAAAATTTGACTTAGTACTACCTTTAGGCACTGCCATGTACCTCAACAAAGATTTGGAAATCCAGAGGTAAGCTTTTATCACCTTTTTTAATGTCAAACTCCTCCCCCTGCTCATTCAGAAAAGAATTCCAACATTCTTGACAAAACTTCTTAGCTCAACCTTCTTCATTTCTCAAATAATCAAAGCATGTATTAAATATTGAAAATTCTGATAATGTATTAACATGAGAAACAGGAATCTAGCATACATTGCCGAAGGATTTGGGGAATCGTGTCACTGGAACGAGGTATTAGCTCAGCAAAGAAGTAATGGCTCATTGTTTAACTCACCAGCCACTACTGCTGCTGCTTTGATTCATTGTCACAATGAGAAATGCTTTGAATACTTGCACTCAATATTGCAAATTCATAATGGCTGGGGTA